CTATATACTATATATTTACCTATTAAATTAATACTTTTGTTTCATATGTTCATATAATCAAGTGCGAGTTTTATTATCCTTCTTCTATTTCTTAGTCCAATACTTCCAATCTATTACCTCCATTGCTTTGAACAGCACATTACTATGAGTACGTTCAATTTAATGTGTAGAAAATTCGGCATATTGATGTCTATAGCGTCATTGCCTGCCTAAGTGTTGCTAGCCAGAAATTTTTTCAGTTCCAAACGAGGTTCAAATTTGTATGTTTCTATAGTTCGTTTTACGCAAACGATTTCTTAACATAACGAGATTGCGTTAAGTACTTTACTTAATGGGATTTTGTTCTGTTCCCGGTTTTTTACTGATGAATTATAATCTAGGGGAATGGCTGATGATGGTGATTTTTATAGGACATAAGACTCGAGCTATTTCAATAATAAAATGAATGAACGAATATTCTACTATTTCAAATCAACATAGCATATGTGTCACTAGCACTGACTGATCTACTGCTTTCTTTTCGCTTAGGAAATGAGTAAGTATATCGCTGAGTATAAGTGACCTGAAACCATATCGTAAAATGAACTCGTATCCTTGCTTTGCAACTAGGCATCACACCATTGTAATCTGTTATACAATGTTTATTTGAAATCGGCATATATTTCATCGAATTTAAAAGTCCTCGAATACAGTTGTATAACAGACGTATAACTACTATCACGTACATTTTGTTTCACACGACATTAATAAAAATTGAAAATTTTGAAATCGGTTCATTAAGAATAGAAAACAAATACCAAGTATAATATTAATGATAAATTGACCCTGTACATTGATTAAGAGGCTGTAAGATTCACGCAACGTTTTAGTGCACATATTGAGCATAACGATGAGCTTGTTCACCTTAACAATAAGAGGTATATAATTCAATTGTTCCTATCGTGCCATCATACTGCCAATGTTCTCTAGTGTCATATTGACTACGTCAGATGCCTAAATTATGTAATTAAGGCCAAAATGTAGAAAGTAACATAAAATACATTTCTATAGAGAATATTGGAGCAGGACCTTAAATGTGCCTCCAATGTCCTTAGTGTGTACCCTCTGTTCCACCAAAGTTTTCCATAAAGCATCTGAGATCAAGTTAGCATGATAGTTGCAATCCAGGTATCTTAAAAACATTCTAGTTGTACCAGTCATTTTGGCGAAATAGTTTTGCTTCGTAAAAAAAAAGAATATTCATAGAACTATTCTTTTCAGTGTGGTTTACTTCTTTTCATCCCTCATACATGATGATTTAGATAAGAAGTATTGAGTGACTTGAGTGGCTTTTTTCAGAAGCAAACATGGCTTCTTTAGCAGTATTTCTTCTAGAATATATATCTTCTCTTCTTCTTCTTATGCAGCTGGATACGTAAATCACCGTAAAAGCACTGGGAAAAATTTTCGGGCACTTGAATGCGAATAATGGATCCAATCCAAAAAAATAAAAATTACGTGAAGAGTCAGTTAACGAGAAATTCTCACTCAAGAATTTTCGATTGAATGAACGAGTAAAACTTATTTATCTAAGGAAAGTAGAATCTACCACTATTAGGCAAACACTACTTTTCCACCTATTAGGCGAAGTCTGTCGTCCTGCCCTGTCCTCAAAACCCTTCGTACGCTGGGAATCGAACCCGGGCCGCTTGGGTAAAACCACGAGACCTAACCACTAGAACACATGGGGAAACACGATAAGGTCCTTATAAATTACTTGTTACTGTGAATGCTGTTATGAAGAATGTAGAATATGCTACTAAACACCTTTGATCCTTCATAAATATGAGTCCACTGCAGTGATTCTTATAAGTCTGATCGATCAACATACTTTCTACAGAACTTTCCCAATTCAAAAAAGTCTCGAAATTATGGTATGGGGCAATGCGACTCACATCATTTAGCAGACCCGACGTCATCTATTGAAACTGGAATGTTATGGAGATATTTCAGCTAATCGTTCTTACTATAATCTCTTCTATTTTCCTCGAAACCACCTTCTACACTGAGAAGTTTCAGACATGCAGCTGTTAATCAAGTTTCATTCTTCCTCTTGTCTCAATTATTCACTTGGTTGCCTTGAAAATGTTATTGCGCATCGCTTTTTAAAATGCTAATTTTAAAAAAATGCTTCTATTTTGTTTTTATGAACTCCACCGGTTGACTAGTAATAATTAACGATGATGAAACTTTTCTCGCGTAGTATTGAAGATGAAGGATGGCAGAACGAACCGCTTTGATATGAACCGAAAAGATGAGATGGGTAATAGACAGGTTTACCATGTCAATTATATTTAATATAGCAACTAAATTGTTTCCTCTAATTTTTCTAATCGCAATTTACTCAATATTCTATAAGGTCGTATTTAAGACATTTCTTTGGCTTTCAAAATATACATAGAGCATCACAATTGGGTTCTGCAAGACTGTTACAGCTTTCTACCTACAGAGTAAGTAGTCTTCACGATGTATAATGCATTCGTGAAATCTGCTTCCACTAACACCGTTAAAGCCTAGAGTTTGTTGTACGATTTGATTATAACATTGCATGTCACAAGAATATCGTCATAATTTTTAGTAGTAGTAAGAAAATGTCCACATATTTTCCACTTTGTCTGTTAAGAGCAGTTACTTAACACATGAAGACAAAGTGAAGTAGCACTTTTTAAAAATGCTTACCATTTTAATGACTAGTTAGATAGGTGCACAGCAACCGATAATAGTATATTATACCGCATTCAATTCTATGATCTGCATCTGTGTCAGTTTCTGAAATCACAAACCTGAGCATATCAACACTAGCACGAATGAATGCAGTTGGATTGGCCAGATCTTTACCGGCAAGTGTCGTACCTGTATTTCGCGTACCCTAAAAAAACCTAAATGATTTAAAAGTCACTAATTCATTCATTAAATTCTTCTCAATGAGAAGTTGAAAGAACCGAAAAACAAATCTAATAGATATTCTAATTTCTTAGCAGAAACTTCTGGAAATAATTCGCTATCATTTTGGGGTAGTTTAGTAACAAAACTAAGAGCCTTCTTATAATATGAAGCACAACGAAACTACGCGGTGGAGGCCCAAAAATCACTTTAAGTAATCAGATCTGAGAAGTTGACGAACTAGAAGAAATTACCAGTTGATATTGCAACAACTACATTGCTTGCTTTGCTGCTTCAAAATTTTGGCCGATTTATTTACTAACTACAGAATGGTGTAAATGAAGGAGAAGACCTGTCCACGTTTATTACATAAGAAATTCTGTGAAAGAATCATTTTTATTACGAAAACAAGAAATAAATCGATATGACAATGTAGGGAAAGTATTATCCTAATGCTTATTACGCTTCTATACCATAAGATAGGATAAGATTGAATCAGAACAGTTGTTTATGGTAGGAATTGTATTCAGCTTTTTATCTGGCTATTGAGAATATTTAAAAGCATCAACAGACTAACAGACATAAGAACAATCA